ACCTTTGCTATAATGCAATATAGGATTCAGAATCTGGTAGTTGCTATTGCAAGTGGATATGTGGTCCTGTTTACTGGTTTCTGAGCTCAGAAATAGAACCAGAGAGGATCTTTAGGTGAACCATGGCTTGGACTCCTTGTCCAACTGGAAAATGACTTCTACTCTTGGAACCCCGGCTCCCTCATGCATAGCACAGTCAAATGATTTGTGGAATCATTGTAAGAATAGGAAATAATCTATATGACTGTTTACCCAGGATACCTTAGGGCCTCAATAAAGGGTGATAATTTCTTACTGCTAGGAAACAGAAATGCTTTCTGTCATTTCCTTCTTTCCTCCAAAACCACAGTATATATAATGAGGTTTTATGGCTAACTTGTCTGAAATCAAAATTCGGAATATTTGCAAATCGATTACTGGAACATCCACATTGGTGTTAGGTGACTCTTCGCTGGCCTGCCAAGTGACATATAGTGCATGCTTTTGGGAGTTTTCTCAGTTGATTAGGGCCATTTAAAAAGTGATTGTCACCTTGATAAAACTTAAGGAAAACGTTAATACACTATTTTGTATTTGAAGTGGCTGTTGATGTTTTCTTCTTTAGAGAATAAACTTATGACTTTAGACATTTTTGACTTGAATTTGGAAGTTAATAAATATTTTCCCTAAATGATTTCTTTTCTCCCTCACAACATTAGGTTGTACGAAAAAGTTTTCTTATGTTTTAAAGAACACAAATTGAAGCAATCAGTCTAAATGAGAATTGGGACTCATCTGTTGGTTATTTTATTAAAAATCATCTCTGCCTCACTGTGTTCACTACTACAAAATGTAAAGCAGCTCTGACAATAGCAGTAAGAGCTCAGAGTCAATGTACTGAGAAATCCTTTTCATGTTAGGTCATGGTAAGTCAAGTAACTGGATTTTTCTAGAGTGCTGTCTTAATTTTGCTTTGTGTCTAATTGTTGTCATTGAAATACAGAAAGGATTTTTCCTGGAGACCATCATTATCTGCTTTCTCTCTCACTTAACAGTTTTTTATGGAGCACACATACAGTGTGTGTCTGGTGCTGGGCTTATGAGCAAAATGACACAGTCCTGGTTTCATAAAGCTTGCATTCCAGTTGTTGTTAATGATTACAATTTTAGGTATGTTTTCAACAATATCAAGCAATGACAGTTGAAGAATGAGTAAATAGCTATGTTTAGAAAATGATCCAACATTTTATCCTTAGGAATAATCACAATACTACAGTTTTTACGAGAAACTCAAGTGATTCTGCTATTCATACTTATTTTTCAGAACCAGTCTGTGTTTGCCCAATTTCCTTTTATACCATGTCCTCCCCAAATCCTAGCTTTCCATAACTGGACAGACTCCTCTTGGTCTTGCAGTGTTCAAACATATTTCCTGCTTCCTGTGCTTGGTACAGTCTGGGCTTGGCTGTGCTTTTCTGCCTTGTTAAACTTCAAGTTGCAGCTTAAATATCATTTCCTCAAACAACCTTCTCCTTTTACCTGATTTATTGCAGGCCGTTCTATGATACTCAATTTTTTTCCTTTGTAAAAAGATGCCCAATTTTACTCATATTCTATTTGCATTTTTAATGTCATATATTCAGTTCCTCTTTGTTTCTTGATACATAAATATGCTCAATAAATATTCATTCAGTAAATATAGTGTTGGATATTTATTTACTTTTTCTCAGTGTTTAATAAGAAATTGATGTCATTAAGTGAACAAATATTTTAGTACTTACTCTACAAAGAATGTACTTTTACGTTAAAATTTTCAGAAAACATGTTTCAGTAATTTCTGCATTATCTGAAATTCATTTAACGCTAGAACACACTAATGGTTAAAATTCACAGTTGAGTAAGAATTAAAATATTTTAGGAGTTTCTCTTCATCATCAGAAGCAAAGCAATGGAATTCTATTTCCATTTGATAAAATTATTGTAATTTTTTATGGTAAACTCTGAGAGCTTAAAATATTACTTGATTTTTTATTTATCATTTTAAGGTACATGCAATTAAATGCTTTTTAAATTAGTGGATTTTCATATGATTCTTGGAAAAGAATAATGTGATAAGAAACAGTTTTACAAAATAACTAAAACTGCTAATAATTTTTATAAGATTTTTAATTTTTAATATATGTTATATGCATATATTTATCAAATAATTTGTATGTTTTGATAAATCTGTAAATAGTAAAACATCAGAAGGCATTATTTAAGCTTTGTTGTTGCTACTGCTAAAATCATTACTTAAAAAAAAATCTTAAGAGTTAAAATTTGTTCATTCAGACCATGTATTACTTATTTAAAACCTTGGTTCTCCTTGTTATCTGTTATTTAGTGTTAAATCAATTTATTTAATTTTAACATTTAAAAGAATCCTACAAGTTTGCAAAGACTTGACACAGCATATTTGTCCTAGCCCAAAAATACATTTGCTCTCCTTATATTAATTTTTCATTACTAAGTTGCTGCCTTTTTGTGGCAACTTTATTATTTTTATTCTGACAAGTGAGGCAATGATAGAAACTTTAAGTATTAATCTTAACAATGAAAGTAATGTAATGTACTAAATTAAATTGTGATATAATATTTTCACCTCATATTCCCAAACAAGCATCCCAAATGTCAAACTACATCATCTAAAATTTGGCCCTTAGTTTATTATACATAATAGGTAAATGTGCCAAGAATGTAATTTTGGTTTCCTACATTTTAGAAGCCAGAGCATCTCTTAGATTTGGGAACAGAACATTTTCTACAATAATGGTACAATTATATATATATGAAAAAGCAGTTTTTAGGCTTTTATATCATAATTTATTATGATATTATAAAGGATATTTTTGAAATGTAACATTTTTCTAAATGTTGACTAAGTTGATGGGTTTTTAGAATTTAACATGTCATAGCAACAGATTTTATAACAGTATGATAATTATAAAGTATGCTGCAATCAAGCCATTATAATTAACAATGTAAAAACAAGTAATTTAGAATGTTTATCCTTTTGAGATATTTTTAAAATGCCTCATACTTTAATCATCCTAAATAGTTTGCAAGGAATTTTGAGTAGTTGACCCTCTTCTGTCCATACAGTACCACAAATGTGGCATTTGTGGTATTGTATTTATGGTATTATATGTATGGTACCATACATGTATGGTACCATACTAATTTTACTAGTAAGAAAACTTAATAAGACAATAAATGTCCAGAATTAGACAGTGAGTAAGTGGTGGAACCAGGATGAGATTCTAATAGATTTTCTACTGTAAAGAGTTACTCTGTTGTATAGATATATGCAATAAATTACATTGATGTCCATATGCCCAAATATATGAGAGAAATATACATTTTTTAAAAAAATTTATATTACCACAGTGTTGCTCCTTTAAGTATTACATTGCTAGACAAAGTGCTTTCTAATTACCTTGATTAATTTCACTTCTCACAAACCTCATCAGATTAGATAAATTGTCCACATTGGGGTAGATGAAGTTACCTGACTAAGCTTATCCAGAAGATAAATCGTGAAGCCAGATTAGAATGCATAGCTCAGGACTATAATTTACAGCAAAAAAAAAAAGCTACTATTCACTTCTACTTACAAAGTCCACAAAAAAAAATTATAGCAGATGAATATAATTGCACCTCATCATAATGAGCACTTAGATGTAATAAAATTGCAGAAAATAAATACATTTGATACTGCCTCTTTAAAACATAAAAACACTAAAATAATAAAAACCAAAGGAGGTGTTAAAATTATCTTAAATCGGAATTTCTAAAGTAGGCTTCTGGTCATTGATGGTTATAAAAATCTCCTCATGTTGATATACCATGCAGCCTTGGTTGAGAACCGTGGGAAGAGGGCAGAGGTAGACAAAACTTTAGTGTAAAGGACCACAAAGTAACTATTTAGGGCTTTACTACCTATATGGTCTCTCTCTCAACAGTTTAACTTAGCCTTTGTGTGTGAAGGCAGTTATAGGCAAAGTGTGAAGCACGGCTGTGTCCCAATAAGATTTTCTTTGTAGTATTGTTTCAATTTTATATAATTTTACATTGAAAATATTTTAATGTAAAATTTTAAAATACAAAATTATAAAGTATATATATGTATTTCAATATAAAATTAAATTACTTTTCTTTCTTCGTTTTTTTTTTTTTTTTGAGACGGAGTCTCACTCTGTCGCCCAGGCTGGGCGTGATCTCGGCTCACTGCAAGCTCCAGCTCCCAGGTTCCTGCCATTCTCCTGCCTCAGCCTCCCAAGTAGCTGGGACTACAGGCGCCCACCACCACGCCTGGCTAATTTTTTGTATTTTTAGTAGAGACGAGGTTTCACCGTGTTAGCCAGGATGGTCTTGATCTCCTGACCTCGTGATCCGCCCGCTTGGGCCTCCCAAAGTGCTGGGATCACAGGCGTGAGCCACCGCGCCTGGCCAAAATGAAATTACCTTTTGCATTACCTTTTGGCAACTGCGAATGTTGCATAGATAGATGGATGGATGGATAGATAGATAGACAGACAGATAGATAGAAAGATAGATATATAGCCTTTATCTATTCCCTAGATAAATGAGTGAATGAATAAGTGGAATATATCCAATCAAAATTGCCCACAAAATGGTTTTGTGTCTTCTCCACTGAGAATGTTCATCAGTTGAGAGTGGAGATTAATGTGTTCCCAAGAGCAGCAGTTTTTCACTTGACACATGTATTTGAAAAATATGGTCCATATGGCTGTAGAGATAGTTATATGAACCAAGAGGAAAAGTCTATTTATCTACGGTTTGGCCTGATCTTCAGACTTTTGTATTTTTCTCATGTTTTCAAACAAATAGAATTTTCTTTTTAAAATTATATCAATGGACATATCCATGAACCTTTCTTAATGGGAGTCTGTTTGTCGGTGGCGTTACCTTTTGGCAGTTGCAAATGCTGCATGCTGCTTTTTTGTGTTTTCTGTGTGTAGCTAGAGAGATTGCAAGCTGAAAACAGCTCGGAATGGGACAAGAGGGAAATACTTGAAACAGAAAAGCAGGGACTGGAGAGAGAAAATAGAAGGTTGAAGATCCAGGTGAAAGAAATGGAAGAGCTCTTGGATAAGAAAATTAGATTAAGTGCAAACTCTCCAAGTCCTGATTTCAAGACGTCACAAATTGACCTGCAAGAGAAAAACCAGGTATGGGTGCTCCTTGGAGCAAATTCTCACTGTCTAATCTCACCCTCATGCCTATGCCGAGTCTGTCTTCACTGGTACATGCCTCCACATTTGGCTATTTCCTTTTGTGCTAGCTAACACCTGATACCCCTTGCTCTTCTGCCCACTAGGATGTAAAATAATGTTGTTCATGCATCTGAAACAAAGTGTGTCAAATGTTAAAATATGACAAATCTTCAGACAGTTTCGAGATTTCCAAAAGGAGGAAGAAAAATGAAGTAAGAAATAGACCTTTCTGGTTTTTTGTTTCTTATTAAAGCTTTGTCTCAGTATTTTCTAAGCTATTGATCTTATTTCCAATAAAGATTTTTTCATTAATTCAAGCAACTATACAATAAGCACTTGCTGGTAGCTATGGTAAGTTCTACATAAACATTTAAATTTAGCTGAAACTCACTGTTTCTGGTTCTTTTTTTGTCAGTTTCAGAACGATTATTTTTGAGCTAATTAAATGCATAATTTTTCAAATAATTTTTCCAGCCTATGGTATAAATCTTAAAACCAGAATAACATTCCTAATTTGAATTTGGGAAATTTAATTTTAGATGTGTTTTATCCCCAAGCCAATAGATATAGTTTGTGCTATAGGCGGACATTTTTTTGATAGTTTACAGATTTTTAAACGTGTTTTTAATGACAGTCTTATAGTTTTAATGTGGGTTTGTGTCAATATGCTGCAAATTTTATTTTCCTTGTTTCTATTTTTCAATTACATATAGCATCTTAATGCACAATTCTATTTCTCACTCAATTCCTGTAACCGTTTTCAAGGGTGAGTTTGATAAGTTCATAGTTTTGAGATACATGAGTCATTCATACTCATATAAGCTCTAAAAGCTACATGGCCAGAAAAATTGAATTCCATATTGTTTTGTCATTCTTTCATGAATCTAGGGATTTATTGCAAATGCAAGATTAAATTGTATTAGTGTTTCATGACCTAGCAATGCAAATATCTAAAGTTAAATGTTATAGTCCGTGACCATAATTTTCTATTGTACTGATTCATAAACTATCTATAATAATGTATTTGATTCTGACATAAGTACACTGATAAATCTGTAGACATCTTTTTTGGACATCTCTACTCTAAACAGCACAGAATCATCTCAATTATGGACTGTGGATTGATTACAGAAATACTTTTTATTTGATTTATTTAAACAAGACAAACATTTATTTGTATTATTCTCTGTGTCAGTCACTGTTCTATATGCAGGTAATGAGAATAGTAATTAATGAATCATTATCCCCGCCTAGCATGGGCTTAGAGTCTATGCAGGGAGTCATACAAATTTTTATAAATAAAACACTATAATGACTGCTAAGAATAAAGTGGCAGGGGACATAGATTAAGAAGCAATTGATTATATATTTAATTTTGGCACCTTTCTAGTTGTACCAAAATGTCATAATATAAAGTGTGTCTTTCAGGAAAAATTGAGGCCTGTTTGGAGCTGGCATTGTCGTAACCTGTCATCAGGGCACACCTATTCCAGACCTGGTCTCTTTGACGACAGTGTAGTCATTTGGACTAGGACTAAGCAGAACTTGGAAACTGGGAGGATCCTCGAAGGTCTAAGTCAGTGGGTATGCTGATCACTTAGAAGACTGTAGGATTTTTTAAGAATAGATCATTTTGATGGTGGGGGTGGCATTGGTGATTTTTACCCTCTTCATTATAAATTCAGACTATCTGCTGGAACTAAAATAATCACTTATTTTGGAACAGTAGCACGCCAAAATTCTTAGTGTAACAGGAACTTCCCCAGAAGCTCAAAATGTCAAGATTATGATGTCCTCAAATGTCAAATGAATCAGAGCTGTGTACAGAATATGCCAAGGTTCAGGGAATAATGTAGATTTTATCATAACACAAAACCATATTGTAGTTTTAACACTATTTCAATAAGAGTTAATTTATATGTATATAAGTACCATGGATGAATACCATGGTGCTATGTGCATGTGCGTATGTGTGTGTGTGTATGTGTGTGTGTGTATATATACCATGTATAAGTACTATGTCTACATATGTATAGAAGTTCCATACATGAGTGAGGCAGTGAAAGAAGGTGCTAGCATGTAAAGGCCACTAGTGCAAACACTGCTTGAATCTTAGTCTCTAAAAGAAATATAAGATCTCTTACTACATGACATTTGCATTTAAATCACACTTACCAAAGGTTTGTGGCAGACATAAAGCTACCTGCTACTCATTAAGAACCCCACATAAATTTAAAAAAAATATGTTGGGTTTTAATATTCTAACTGTTCAATAAAATTTTTGTAAGTCCCTATTAATTGAAAAAGGTATGACTTTTTACAGGGCTTTACATTTGATTTTTTTTTATTTCAGTGGTATAGGGAATACATTTTTAAAGAAAATGCCTTCCAGTTTTAAATTGCACTATTAATTCATAGAAAAATAATTTTATTTACATGAGTAATCTTATCACATAAATCTCCATTGAGTAGTTGCTTTTATATACTATGTTTAAGGATATGTGTACATCATCCTTTTACAACTTAAAAAATGCGATAATACACTTGAACTTTTAATGGACAGACTGAAAAATTACTACTCTGGTAGTAACTATTTTTAAAGCATAAACCAATGTAGTAGACTTTTCTAGAACAACCATTGCATGAAGATCTTTCGATTTGCTGATGCTCTTGGAAATAGTGGCACTGTTCCATGGTCCCTGGCATCAGCATAATTGACAAAACGACACCAGACAACAGAACTTCGGTGGCAGTATCGAGTGCTCTTCTCAGCATGAAGTCTGCATTATAAATGATGGCAAAGATGTTTAAGACCTAGATTTGTAAAAACATAAGTAAATCCAAGAGTATGCTTTAAGGAAGAGAAATGCAGCTACATTTGAAAGTCCGATTTCACAGACAATAGTAAATTATGTTAGTGATGTTTGATCATTAGAATGTACATTTCCATCCAACATTAAAAAAATCCACCTGTCCTTATTGGACTAACTGATATGACAAAGTTTTTTTTAAAAAACATCTTCAATACACTCAGAAAATGTGAATTCAATAATTTGAGCTATTTGTCAGAAGTTTTTCTTAGTTTTCTTTCACAAGATCAAGGTAGCTAAAACATTTAAGTATATCAAAAATTATAGTGGCATCAAAAGTGGGGTGTGCATGTCACACTGTGTTCAAAAAGCTCTTTTTGAATCTCTATGTTTATAATATATATTAGTACAATAGCATATCTATAGAACATAAATAAGTTAACATATATAAAGGGTGAAAGTTGGTAAGCTCATAACTTTATAAGAACATAAAAAGAACATGTATCAACTATTTTATTTATCCCATTAGTTAATGAGGAAACCAGTAAGTTACTACAGCCAGTTCAAAGGAGAATCTAAGTGTCATACAACTAGGCACCCAATAATGCCGAAATGAATGTGCTTAATGGATGCAAGAGTGGCTCTTCCATCGTGGGTGGGGAAATAAATTGCACTGTCACAAAATAACATTGTCCTACACGTTTATGGACAAGAATCAGTTGCATGGCCATGGATCATCTATAAATTACAGGATTTTGTGTAAAATATCTTAATGATATCAACGCTGCAGGACATTATAGAATCAGAAAACCTTACCCGAGGAATGTGTTAGACACAACCTCCAGGAATCTTTGTTGATCATTGCAAAGACTTTCGCAATTTTCTCTGGCAATATAAGTTACTTGATGTGCGTGTGTAATAAGTCTATATATGAGTACATCAACAAACACATGGGGAGTGTTATTCTAGACTAGGGATGAACAAACTTTTTTTGTAAAGATCAAGATGGTAAATGTGTTAAACTATTTAAGTAAGCCACATAAGTCTCTGTGGCATATCCTTTTGGAAAATTATAAGCCTTCGAAACCATAGAGAATATTACATGGGAGGCACACAAACAGGTCTGGAGCCAGATTTGGTTCATAGGTCATGGCTTGTGGCCTCCTGCTATAGCCCAGGGGCGTCTGGCTTACAGAAGGGGCCAAGAAGGCAAATGTGACAGAGTTAGGTTCAGGGTGAAAAAACAAAACAGTACCTCTCCCTAGCTGGAAAGCAGTGCTTTCCTGGGAGGCATTCATATTCAAAGCACTAGAAATATTGTTCTGGCCACACAAAACCCTCTGGGGTAGATTTTCCACTTGGGTTCGTCACCTGGTCTACACAGTCTACATTGAGCCATGGCAATCATTTTAGAACTGTCAGCCAAGGATCTCTGCCTCTATTTCTCAGCCAGATTTCAATTATTATACTGGTGTCTCTTACTTGTCCTAGTTCCCTTCGTGGAACCAATTTTGTCTTACTAATTTCAGGAAATGCATTGCCACCTCCTGTGCATATAGCAGGTGTACAACAAAGACTTGCTGAATGAAAATAAGTTGATGAACCATGACACATACATTTTTAACATGAAATATGTAGATGCTTATGCTATATTTCTGCTGAGTATTTCAGCATAGTTTGAGAACATAACTGGTAAGTGTTCAGAATGTAGCTGATCAGAAGACATTTCTCCAAATGACTTATTTGTAATTTGGAAAAAAAATCTGAACATTTCCCAACATTGCTATTCAAAAACTAGAGAAATTATGGTTTGAAAATACAGACAGTTAAGAAATTAGCATTAGAAATTTTTTTGGAAGCCAACCTGCTAGTCACTGAGTTTAACTGATATTAATATTTATGCTTAGCTTTAATGGAGACACATACATATTAAAATCACAATTTAAAAGCTATTAAAAACAGAAATGACATTAAAAGTATGAATTTATAGAAATTAAAAACAAACATTCTGGTGTTATGTGATAGTCCTATTTAGAAATTATGTATTATGTCATCATCTATTTAGAAAAACAAAAACAAAAAAACCTTTAGATTTTATTAAAGTTAAAAAATTGTATATGATGCTACCATGGTATGTATCTAAGG